CCCCTTAGCAATCAGCCTAGCTTTATATATTTCAACAGTGCCATCAGCTTATTGTTTAATGATAAACACTCATTTGCACTCTCTTGCCCTTGCTCTAGGAGGAATAGGAATTAACTTCCATGAGTCATTTCTTTTCAAGGCCTCCATTTCCATTATCATAGCTTCTCTCCGTCAAAGATCAATGATAGCCTCCTTTCAACTCTTAGGAATAGATACAGAAGACAAGGAAAAAATAAAAGTACGGATGGAGACAAGAAATCATAAGGGATAAAGTTAGAGATAAGATGTGGAGTACAGGTTCGAACACCCTTTCTGATTATAATAGGATACTCAAAGTCATCAACAACTAGATTATTAGCAACAGGAGTAATATATAAAGGTTCATTACTTGATAAATTAGTGAAAGATGGAACTGAAGTTGGGGAAATTAATTGATTTAATGCACACAGGTAATCTATAATTTTTTGATGTCGAGAATAAGTCTTCAAAGTATCCTTGTCAACGTGAACACCATGCAAGTCACTGATATCACCTTTTTTCTCCACAAGCTGTTGCTCTCCTATACTGACATTCCCATGAACACGTAATTAAAGAAGAGACTCTTGACAAAACATCTCTTCCTCTATTGTGGTATTCTTCTTGGAAGAGATGTTTAGGGAGTAGGGAAAAAGGACTTAAAACTCGTAGAAGGTAACATCCATGCTAACATATATTTTTTGTGACTATGGATGATAGCATTTGTATTCCCTTTTGGTGAAAGAATAACCAACAAAGACATATCATAGAGTCCAGGGGTCAAGTTTTATGTTGGAGGGTTTGTAATCATGTACAAAACAAATACACCCAAAAATTGTAGGAGGTAGGGAAGAAATAGAAGGAATTAAAGAAGACTCAAAAAGACACTCAATAGGGGACCTAAATTGAAGGACACTCGAAGGAAGATGATTAATAAGATAAGCAGAAGTAAAATTGAAGGACACTCAAAAGACTAAAGTACATTCATAGTAAACATCAGTGAGCGAGTAACCTCAAGAAAAAGACAATTTTTTCACTTAGCAATACGATTTTGTTCAGGAGTACTTACACAAGTAATTTGATGTAGAATGTCATTCTTATTAAGGTAAGAATGAAATTTTTCACCAATATACTCCCATTATCATTTGAAAATTTTTGATTTTAGCATCAAATTGGGTATTCATCATTTTATGAAAAGACGAGAAAACTTTATCTTTAGTGCGTAGTAGGTAAACTCAAGTAAGACGAAAATAACAATCAATAAAGGTAAGGTAACAAATCAACGATAATTAGAGATAGACACAATATGGGAAGGACCTCACACATTAGAATGAATAATGATAAAAAGAGCTATACTTTTATTATTAGTACTATGATAAGATGAGTATTTATGCTTGACAAATTCACAAGCATCACAAATAACAAATTGTCAACTATATTGCTTTACTAGACTAGGAAAAAGATGATCTAGGACACCAAATGAAGGATGTCACAAACGTCTATGCCACTGATGTAGAAACTAAAGGGCTAGAACACCATCTGTTTGGAGGGCTTGAGAGGTAGACCGAGGGGAAGCTTCAACATCTAGGAGATTCAAACCACTATGTCCTCTACCACTATCAATTATTTTCCTAGATTTTAGTTCCTGAAAGATACAATGAGTTGGAAAAAAAATTACAGAACAGTTCAAGGATTTTGTGATAGTAGTAACAAACAATAAGTTAGTAGAAAAATTTGGAACATGAAGAACAGAGGAGATGGATAAACAGGGTGAGTAGTTAATTGAACCTTTCCCAGAAATAGAGGATAAGGATCTAGTTGTCACCTAGACTTTATCCCTACTAGACCATGTAGTGTATAAAGAAAAAGGCTAGAAGAACTTATCATGCCCAATAGTCAATTTAAGGATGAAGTAGTCGTGGCCCATGTCAAGTGAAGTTAATCTTCATATTGGGTCTTCATAGTTTCAAAATTGGATAGTCTATAGCTCCAGAATACATTATCCAAGGAGTATATGAAGATGACACAATAAATACACTAACAGATATACCTGTATAAACAAAGTTGGAAGAGGAGACATGATTAGGGGTTGTAGAGGGAATATCAAGTTGAGTCACTAAACACCTAAGGGTCTGCATCTCATCTTGAGAGAAATTAGAGGGAGTAGGCTATGATGGAGTCTTAGAAGATTCAGTCATGTGAGCATGGGATCGCATATTACCTCTTCGTCTTGTCATCTTCCAACAAAACTCTCTACTATGCCTGGTCTTTCCACAATAGTCACATTTTAAGGTCTTCCTACCAATAGTGCCACTCGTCTCGGTAGATTTAGGCAAGACTAAACTCAGACTCACACTAAGGAATAGTAGCCATACAAATTTTTCTTGAGTAGGAGCATAAACCACAACAATTCTCTGGTTTTTCTCTTGCTGAACATGGGCATAGGACTCTTATAAGGTAAGGAATGGACTACGACCCAAAATTTTAACCCGAATCTAATCATACTTAATATTAAAATCAATAAGAAAGTCATACACTCGTTCCTTCTGCATCATCTGCTGAAATTTTATAGCATCATTAGCACAATTTGCTTGGAAACTCTAGCAATAGTCAACTTTGCATAATAAATTGCAAGGATTTTATCTTTCTAGTTCATCTTCCAAACTTTATTTTGAAGGTCATATGCCTCGCATCATTGCTTCGTTGAGAATATATATCGGTCACGTCAGTCCAAATTTTATGTCGTGTATCAAGCAATAGAAAATCACGACTGATAGAGGGTTGCATCGAGTTAAACAATCAAGACATAACCAAAGCATTTTTGGATGTCTACTACTGTAAGGAGATACCTAACTCATCGGACTTCTTAGTCTCTTTCAGTCTACAAGAAGCTGGCGGAGATTTAGCCATTGGACCACATCCATCTATCCTACTTAAACAACAACCCTTTTCTTGTTCATTCATCCTAAGAATTGAATGAACCAAGTTCACCTATACGACAGTAAGGAATAAAAGCTAACAATGAACTTTCCATTTTTGATGTCCCACGATAATCCCCATCCAGAGCAATAGCTTGGATTGACAATAAACAAGCCTGTGACCATGCTAAATATTATTCCTATCCAATTTCTTTGGACTAATCCAAGGAGGGGTTGTTTACTAGAGCACCTAAATGTCTCAACCCACTTCCTTGGGTACTTGCTCCTGCATTAGTAGATGTTGCACTACCTTTCGACATGTTTACCCAATAGGACCAACACAAAATAGCAAGAAATCACAAAAAAACACATCGAAAATTGGACCATAACCCAAAAAAAAATCTCACAGGGACTGTATTTCTAACACAACACCTAGAGATAATCAAAAGGCCAAATAGCCTCTTTGAGGCAATTAGAGAGCAGAACAGTCAGTGGACAGGCCAAAAAATCTCTGCTGGCAGTAATAAAGGGGTAAAACATTATATAAATCCTATCCAAATGCAGCAAGGATGGATGCGCATTGTTGTTAAGCTCTAGTCGCACCAAATCGAGTAGGTTGGCCCAAAAAACATCCCCCCAATTGCTCAGAAATAGTAGATCTAAGAGCAGAGCTGGAAAATCCAAAAATTGAAAGATCAGTCATATGAATTAAAAAAATTTCAAAAAATCACCATAATACTCAATAGTACCAGTCAATCAAATCTACCCTAAGAATTTTGACATAATTGACTTTTGTCGTCAGTATGTCAAATTCTGATGATGTCCACTACAGGTTGTGTAATATGTTTTATGATGAATTTTGACAACTTTGAGATGTTAGATTTGATCGATACTCTAATAGAAAGTTAAATTGTAAAGTTGTGTGCGTTCTGGAGAAGAGAAGAAGAGAGAAGGAGAACAATATAGGAGATTAGTGTGTTAGGTTAAACAACTACACCCTTATATATATAGTCACAATCACAGAGTACTAAAGTACCCTTAAGTTAGAAATAACACACAACAATAACAATTACTAATGCTATAACCAAGAATGGGTCAAATGGTAGTATCTAAGAAGCACGGATATGGTCCATACGGACGACACGACATGACACGTATACATGACATTTTTCAAAAAAGTAGGACATGGATACGTTGAGACACGCTATAGATAATTATGTTTTACATATATAATTATATAATTTATCACAAATATAGTGATAATGATATATTATTCATGAAAAATAAGTAAATGTTATAGTTTGTCATGTAGTGTGAATTTTTAAACTTAAGCATCATAATAGTCAATAATAATCATCATTTAAAACATTACTCTTATTTTCTCAATTCCTCTTTTTTAGAACTTTTATATATTTTTTTATTTTTATTTTTGTATTATGAGTACAACTTTAACATGTCTAGTCTTGATAATTATATGTTGTTTCATAATATAAGACACTTATTAGTCAAATTTGTAAGTTTTGTTAATCAGAACACATGTTTATTGTTTATAGTCTAAGTGTCGAACACGTCACCAAAGAAGTATTGAACATATATCCGAAATTAGAATTTTATAATTTAATTATGGACACGGATAAAAGAGTATCGAATATTTTATAATTTAATTATAGACACAGATAAAAGAGTATCGGACATGTGTCTAAGGAGTGTCAGTATCCGACATGTGTCTGACATGAATACGTCACTTTCTTGTGAGTGTCTGTGCTTTGTAGGATAGTATAGATAGCAGCTAAACATATATGATTGAAATACTGGTTTGCTGATCTAGGTAAAAGTTGTAAGGTGGTGATAATTAAAGGTAGAAGTTTCAAAATATAGACTGCGTGCTCATCAAGAATCCTAACTTATTTGTTTTGGAAAAAATCATTTTAACAAAATAACTGACAAGAATTTGGCTTTGATAGATAACTTCTAGGACCTCTGGTCTTAATTTTGTCTCTTGTTAGAATGTTAAACTTGTGTAGGTTAAAGTGTAGAATTGTAGTCTAACTCAGTGGCAGCATATGGATGTGGTGTGTCAACACTTCCCATAAGGTATTACAGATGTCCTACATCAGTGCTCATTCTAGTTTCTGGGCTACACATAAAGTTTTGTTTTCTTCCTTTTAACATCAAGTTCAAGTTTTGTTTTCTTCCTTTTAACATCAAGTTTTGGTTGAACAGTACCTTGTTAATGCTGATTTGTTGAACCTGAAAGGTGATATTCTGTTGTAACCCCTTTCTTTTGTGTGTGTGGTTTCATGGTGTTCACGGTGATGGTTGCCATCTAACTGGTCCGACTCTGACTAGGAAATAAAAGCAAAGATGGTAATTAGAAACCACAGAAAGAACCATTAGCCATGTAGCTGCCTTCTCTTTTGGCCATGAGTTTGGGTGTGAAGAGAAACAAAGAAACAATCATAGTAGAAATCTACGTATTATCTGCCACTGAATTCATGAACTTGCAGGTGGATTTGTAGGAATTAACATTGGCACTGATGTTTCAAACCTACCATCAGCCCAAGATGTAGTTGCTATCCTTAAAGCCAATCAGATAACTCATGTGCGCCTTTTTGATTCTGATGCTCACATGCTGACTGCTCTTTCAAACACTGGGATTGAAGTAATGGTAGGTGTGACTAACGAGGAAGTGTTGGGGATCGGAGAATCTCCGTCAGCAGCGGCGGCCTGGATTAACAAAAATGTGGCAGCGTACTTTCCCTCAACGAATATCAGCGCCATTGCTGTTGGTAGTGAAGTTCTCACTTCAATTCCGAATGCTGCTCCTGTCTTGGTTCCTGCCATGAATTACCTTCATAAGGCCCTAGTTGCTTCAAATCTAAATGATCAAATTAAAGTTTCAACCCCGCAATCGATGGACATAATCCCAAAGCCTTTTCCCCCTTCCACCGCAACCTTCAATGCGACATGGAACTCTACAATTTTCCAGATCCTTCAGTTTTTAAGGAACACAAATTCGTATTACATGCTGAATGCTTATCCTTATTACGGATACATTAATAGCAATGGAATCTTTCCAATTGCTTATGCTCTCTTCCAACCTCTCACCTCAGTCAAGCAGATTGTTGATCCAAACACGCTTTTTCAATATGACAGCATGTTTGATGCCATAGTGGATGCTGCCTACAACTCCATAGCAACTCTCAATTTTTCAGGGATCCCAATTGTCGTGACAGAAACTGGTTGGCCATGGTTTGGTGGTGTCAATGAACCTGATGCCACTGTAAAAAATGCTGAAACTTTCAATAACAACTTGATTCAGCGTGTTTTGAACGATTCAGGTCCACCTAGTCAGCCTACTATTCCCATTAATACATATATTTATGAGTTGTTCAATGAAGACAAAAGGCAAGGGCCTGTCTCAGAGAGGAACTGGGGTATCATTTTCCCCAATGGGACAGCTGTTTATCTCCTTAGCTTCAGTACTTCAGACCGTGTTTCTGCAAATTCTTCATCAGTTTTTTGTATTGCGAGACCAGGTGCGGATACCACTACCTTGCAAAATGGACTGAATTGGGCTTGTGGGCAAGGTCAGGCTAACTGCAGTGCCATTCAACCAGGGCAGGCTTGCTATTTTCCTAATACTATACAAAGCCATGCTTCTTATGCTTACAATGAATATTACCAGCAAATGCATAGTGTTGGTGGAACCTGTGACTTTAATGGTACAGCCTCGACAACTGGTTTCGATCCAAGTAAGTTCATGTAACCATTCATCACTGTCATTTGTTGAACTAATATTGTGTTTTATATAAATGTGTGTTAATTTTTGGTTTTTAAAGAATTCATTTCAGTAAAGATTCTCTAACCACCTTTCCCCTTACATTTGTTAGGTTAAAGGCAAGACATTTAGTTTTTTCTGTCAGAATTGTACAATAGCATGTTAATGTCCACAAAATTTCTTTGTTTCTTCTCTGGGAATTAATATCCCTGAGATATTGCTGGAAAGAAACTCAGTTTACTAGGAAACAGATTGTTGGTTTGTGTGTGTACTTAATTTAGTGAATGGCAAGAGCATGTGGATATGTTGCAGAAAAAAGCCTATAGTATGTGCCATTTTGGTTTTAAAGTAGAAAGCACGGATACATCCCGGAGAGGTGCCATGGTAGTGTCGGAGTCGTGTCTGGCTAGAAGTGTCCTGAACGGTGAACTCAGTCGAACATATCCAGAACACGACCATAAATTTTTTTTATAAAAATAAATAACTATTAACTATTAAAAAGTGTATGATTTCTATTTTTTTAATATATTTTTTATTATGTAACTTATATACTATGAATGTTAATGGAAGTAATGATGTTTGATGAAAATGGTGGATATGTATTTAGATCTATTTCAATTTAATCAAAAAAATAATATTTGTTACGTCTTTTTATTAATATTGTTATAATATATGATTTATTTTTGATATATTACAACTCTTTTATTATTTAAAAAATATATTATATTATTTTAATAACCATATTCTTGTCATACCCGTGTTCTATATTTTTTAACTTTGTCGTTCTTGTGTCTGTATCGTATTAGATACGACACCCGTATCCGTATCCGTATCCGTGCTTCTTAGGTTTTAACGCTACAAATGCATTCAAATGCCTAATGTAGCTGACTGACTACCTATATATTCTTACTCTACAGTTATTCGAAACATTTTCAATAGGTAATTAAATTCTTAGCTACTTTTCCTCATTTTATGGTGTTGCATTACTCGGCCTTTAATTTATGGTTAAAAGAGTAATTCAGAGGATGAAGAGGCCCTAGATAACTCTGCAAAATTGTGAACCAATTGAGGTTCTATTCTGGCAAAAGACTGCACCCAACTCTTTCATCTAGGGGAGTATGTACCAATTAGATCTTCTCCACATTTGGCTTCTGTGCTTGTAACATGCTTCCATGCCTAATATGCTAAAAGTAGTGGAAACCCATTTCTTGTGAAATTCTGAAGGGCCTTATTTGTTATACATGGTGTATGTGGAATCTATTTTAAGGAAAAAAATTGATTTCTAAAGACTCTGGCTGCAGATAAGTGGTTGGCTCATTTGACATCTATGTTTTCAAATGTGCCTGAAGACTGATACACATTTTGTGGAGCAAATATGAAGTAATCACCAATAAAGTGCTGTGAAATGTTGGTTCCGATTGGAATACAATTTTCTGAAAATTTAACTATAAACTTAAACTTGGAATGACAAAGGTACTGCTTCTTATGGATTGTGAGCAATGTTGCACCCTTCTCTGAGTAGGGTTGACCTTTGATTTCATGCATTGCTTCACTATAAAGCCATTTGAAAACTTGAAAGTGGAAGATATGCAATTGTCTTCCATTAATTTTGGAGGTAAAAAAAAAAAAGAATTCTAGTTTTGTTACTATTCAAAATTTGCTGCATTGACTTGCATTTATTATTTAATATTTGGTAGACATCACATCAAAATCGAGATAATTCAGAAATATTAATGTATGCATCTAGTAAATTTTCTAAACGAAGAGAGTATCTTGTTGTTCTGATTTTTACTACATTTCCTTTGTCAGACTTGGGCGGCTTTTTTTCTTTAAAGAGATTTGCTACAATATCACTAATTTTTCACCGCTCTAATTCACCCTACATTTGTCCAACCACAATTCCTTGTTTTCTTCAAAAGCAGGGAACCTATTACATTTAATTTTGTCACCATGAATTTTCCTTCTTCCATATTGATATGTGCTATTATCGAAAATCATTACATTTTGTTCTATCCCCTGATTTCTCCGTTGGTGGTGCCATTTTGCAGGTTATGGATCCTGTAAATTTACTGGAAGGTGAGAGAGATTGAAAGTTTGTGGTTGATAAGAAAAGCAATTCATTCTTCTTTTTGGTCCAACGTCTAACATGTTTACTTTTATGGACAGTTCAAATTCAAGCGCAGGTGACTTAATCCCACCACCTCCTGCATTTGGACCCGTAACTCCCACTCCCTTCGGAGACAGTTCAAGGCTGCAAGTCTCTAAGATTTGGTCTTTGGTTTCAGCAATATGTATTTCTTTGGTTTTACCCGATGTGAATGTTTATAAGATTTTGTAGCACCTTGAATATTTAGGATTGTATTCTTGATGTTTCAATATAAGCCACGGAAATTCACAATCCTTGGCAGCGATCCTAGATGAAAAAATTTAATTTATTGTTACTCATGTCTTCTAAGAAAACATTTAAGGTGTTATTTCACGTGCCACTCCAAAATATCAATTTATTCTCTATTGTTTGTGTGTGCATGCGTGTTAGAGGTCTATGTAAGCTCTTGCTACAGAGTGGGCCGGGAATTTCTTCCATACATGGAAACAGTAATGGGAATGGATTTCAGTGGAACCTTAACTAGTTCTGTCCTTTGGTTTGAAAAGATTTTGATGGTGCAGTTGGCAAGAAAGGGGTTGAGGTGTTGGGTTGGCAGCAAGTGGTCTAATTGGGTTGTGAGTGTATGTAGGAGCTAGAGAAGGGTAAGGCCTAACACAACTCAGAAATTTTGATTTGGGGTGGTTGGAATGCAACTACAGTAGGTGTTAGAAGGTGTGCACTAGAACAGTAGATTTTTCTATTGTATCAAAAAGTGAGTATGACAATGAAAGTAACGATCTAAGCAAGCCAAGTTTGCATTTGGGTCATCTGCTTGGTTGGATCATCTGTGCGGTGTCATTCTTCACACACTTTTTTTCAAATGTCTGCGTGTTTCTATTGCGTTTTCGTGTATGTTTATATTGATTTGATAGACTAATCATGCGCTTGCTTTAAGGAATGAAGTACCGGCATTCCTGAAGAGGTCTGAATTTTCCATTAGAAAGTTGTGGATTTTACATGAAAGATTGCAAAGGCCTCGATTTCCAATCTTAAAGCAAATTTTAACTCATTGCTGATATCATTCCCAACCACACTCGTAATGACTTTTAGGGTTTTAATTTTGACAAATTGTAAAAAACAAAGCAGGACTGCTGATTGGTTGATCTGACATGTCATTATAATAAAGAAAAAAAATATATTTGTCGCCGCCTTCAGAATGGATCATTCAATTTTTTTCTACTAAGAAATGGTTTATTAGTTATTATAACCATCAAATGTTGGTTCAAATATTATTTATGTGGAATAACTAGTTTTATTGTTTTAACAATAAAAGGTCAATTATTATTCCAAGCTGGAGTCATATTTATCCCTAATTTATTTTGTTAGCATAACGGATTTTATTTTTTTCAAAACAAACATGTTATATTCATAATTACAACCTAAATTTGGAACACACATAGTTATCTATAACCACATGCATTGTATAACCAACATGATCACATCCGCAAGGAATGTTTGAGTGTCAATTTTTTGTCAAGTGAGGGGAACTCTGTCATTCTCTTCTCGAGGGGCTTCAACAACCGTTGATTGATATAGTTCCCAATGGCAAAAATCCGCCTTTTACCCCCTCCCTCAATAGTACACAACCCAGCCTTCCTTACATAGGAGGTATCCTCAGGTCTCGATAGCTAGGCAGCTGCAGGCCGCATATCTTCCCAAATTGATCTAAATCAGATCCTGCCTCCATCATCTCTTCCAAATTGATGTTTCAATATCTTATTGTCATTTCTCCCTACACTTCCTCCCCTTTTTTTTAGAAAAAAAAAAAAAGACGAGGTACCTCGAAATAAATAATTGTTTCGATAGAACATTCTCTTCTATCGTATATTGACCGTAGATATACATTATTATTTTCTATTCATTATTATCTTTATTACCAAATAAAATGAACGAACCAAATACAGATAGTTAAAAGGACGAATCCGCTCTTAGGAATTATTAAACCCTTCAAATGCAAGAATCCAATAATTTTCTATGGTGGAACAACTCTCATTACCCCATCAAATAGATTCTTTTTTTTGGTTTCCAAAGGAATGTTGTTATGTTGCCTTGAAGGGTGCACTAATCCTTTGAATCTGGTACCAACGGGTATCATCCCCCGGAACAACATTTGCTTCAAGCCCTTCAACCAATCGATACAACTCCCCGAAACCTGCTTTTGCTAAATCTCGAGCAGTTTCTTGAAAGCTTATTTCAAATATAAAACTTTAAGTATTCAAAGATGCTCTTGTTATTCCCAATAAGACGGCTCGATAACAGATCGCTTCTTCCAAAAAAAAACTTCTAACAAACTAACTAAAACAAATGTTCAAAAAAATTTAAGGAGTTGCCCTAGTAGTAGGATGACCACTTAATAGTGTTTCACTTAGGCGTTGGTTAAGGGTTGAAATATTTTACACATTCGCATATTTTTTAAGTCTGTCCCCCTAAGATTTATCTCTCGTTTGGGATTCAATAGTAGTGTGTTGCACGAGAAAAAAAAAATGTATCATTGTGATCCATTGAGGGAGTTGGACTTAAAAAAAGGCAAAATATAGAAATAGGCCTTGAAGTATAGGGTCTGATTGGTTTATGTTTACAAAACAGTTTTTTGTTGTCAAAATTCTAAAAATAAGGTAAATGTTGTTTGGTTAGTTTATTTGTTCTCCAATTTTTTAAAAATTTTTGGAAATTGAAGTGTGGTTTTAGAGAACAACAAAATAGTATTCTCACTATTTTCTAAGGAGAAATGAAAACACGGGAAACAACCTCATCTCCAAATTAATGAGGTATCCCATTCGAGTTTTGTAGGAGACAAAAAATGGTGATTGTAACTTCTTCTTCTCTGTTGCTTTGACTGAGCTCTCTCTCTCCCCCTTGTGCGCACAACTTTTCCTCTCTTCCTCCCTTTCTCTCGCAACTATTGAATCCAGCTTCAGATCTATGTATATACACAGATTTGAGCACAGATCTGTGTATACACATAGATTTGTGTGCGTCTGTGTGAGTGTGTGTGCGTCTGTGTATATGTGTATGTGTGTGTGTGTATGCGTCTGGGTCTGTGTGTGTATATGTTTTGTAGAGAAAAAGAGAAAGGGGAAGGAACAAGAGAAAGATGGAAATTGAGGGTTTTCTGGATTATCGTCTAAACATGTTTTACAATTTTTTGTTTTTTAAAATTATTTTCAAAAACGTATAACTAAACATGTTTTATAATCTAAAAAATTTCAAAAATATTTTTATAAAACTCTTATCAAAAACTTTTTTTTTTGAGATATAATCCAACAGGTCCTAAGTTTTCTACTTTTAGTTCTCAACTTTTTAATTATGTCAGTTTGATCTCTCAAGTATTAAATTTGTGTCTTTTTATTTCAACTAGCATGACATGCATTGCACGTAAACAAATTTAAATAATATTTTTTCATAGTAAACTTGAATTATATGTGTAATTAAATTAAATAATAAATTAGGTGCTAAATAATTAATCTGTATTTTAATTATTATTAAATTTAATTATTGATTTATTCTATAAGTTTTTGAATAACTAATTTGTCATTTATTTAAGTATTTTTTCGACTCTTTTAGGCATTTACAGATCCAATTATATATTATAGAATTATTAATTTTTATTTTTTTAAATAGATTGATTAGATCGCTTATAATATTATTGTATACCAAAAAATAAAATTTAACATATATTTAACGGTAAAATTTAATTTGATAACAACATGTGTATAATAATTTAACATATATAGAATTTTATTTCTTTATTTAGATATAAATAATTGCATGTAACTGTACTGCTAATAAATGAATTCAAAAGAATTTAAAAATCCTTATAAAAAATTTCAAAACAAGTTGAAAGTCAAAAAAGCTGTAAAAAATCAAAAATTAGATGAAAGTATGTAGATGTATATAATTGATTTTATCACAATAATTAAGAATAAAATAGAAAATCAAAATTTTTTCACAGATACTGATTTTTATAAGTAGTATATATTAATAAGTACTATATATATACTACTTATTAATATATACTACTTATAAATGTCAACATCTGCAAAAATATTTTGATTTTTTATTTTATCCTTAATTATTATGATAAAGTCAATTATACCTACCTATATACTTTCATCTAATTTTTATTTTTACCCTTATTTGACTTTTCAACTTGTTTTGTATTCTTTTATAAAAACTTCTAAATTATTTTGGACTTATTTATTAGTAGTACACTTACATACAATCTTCTATATCTATATGAATAAGTAAAGTCTTGTATATATTAAATTATTATATACATGTAATTACAAGATTGAATTTCACAGTCAAATTAAATATATGTTATATTTTATTTTTTAGTATGTAATAATATAATAATATTATAAATGATATAATCAATCTATTTAACAAAATAAAAATTAATAATTTTATAATATAATTAACTGTGTAAATGCCTAAAATAAATGGCAGATTAAGTACTTAAAAACTTATAGAATAAACTAATAGTAATTAAAAATTTAAAATATGGATTAATTATTTGACATCCACAGTCAAATATATGTTATATTTTATTTTTTAGTATGTAATAATATAATAATATTAAAAATGATCTAATCAATTTATTTAACAAAATAAAAATTGATAATTCTATAATATAATTAGTTGTGCAAATGCCTAAAATAAATGAGAGATTAAGTACTCAAAAACTTATATAATAAACTAATAATAATTAAAATACGGATTAATTATTTGACATCTAATTTATTATTTAATTTAATTACACGTATAATACATATGTAGTTACTAGATTGAATTCCATACTCAAATATATATTATATTTTATTTTTTAGTATGCAATAATATAATAATATTATAAATGATCTAAACAATTTATTTAACAAAATAAAAATTAATAATTATATAATATAATTAGCTGTGCAAATGTCTAAAATAAATGACAGATTAAGTACTCAAAAACTTATAGAATAAACTAATAATAATTAAGATACAAATTAATTATTTGACATTTAATTTATTATTTAATTTAACTACACATGTGATTCACCCTTTTTATAAAAATTATTATTTAAATTTATTTACGTGCAATACACGTCGTGTATTGTTAGTACTACTAATAAAAGTATATTAACATAAAAAACTTTTGATTCGCTATTTTGCCTTATAAAAAACTATAAAAAATAGCATGTCTTTTCGAATTTAAATATATAAATTACCATTACATCCCTTTTTATTTAAATAACAAATTAATCTCTAACATATCATTCAAATCTCTATATCTTTGTAAAACTTTTGGATGGTCATGTTATGATTAATATGATATACACAAACAATATT